TATGTATTCTGCAACCCTTGAATGATTCATCATATATATGTTTGTTTCAGGCTTGTAATGAACTTGGTCAGAATTGGATAGAATCTGGAGTGAGTGAAAATGCTGTATCTGGTCATATACAATTGATAAAACCAGGAGAGACGGCGTGTTTTACAGTGAGTTGTGTTTGCTACATGGTGCCTTTCTATTGGTCCAAATAAAATAATGTGTTTCACATATTTTTGTTTGCTTTTGTGTCCTGATCTATGACCCGATACAACTGTGCAATAGGATCTACATCCAACAATTTCATTGAAATGGGACACAAAATCATAATATGTCAGCTACTATGTTGTCATTTTCTTTGCAACTCAATCAAAGATGCCCATTTTAGTAGTTTTAGTCATTGCAGAACTCGTATAGATGAAATTCATTCAAACTTTAGAATATACAGATGAAAAACATATGAACTTTAATGACTAAGAATTAACTGCAGAATGCTTTTAAGAATTGAAATGATTACTTATATATTCATTTTGACTTTTTAGTGTGCTCCACCTCTTATCGTAGCTGAGAACATTGATGAAAAAACTTTGAAGAGAGATGGTGTTTGTGCAGCCAGTTTACCTACAACTATGTGTGTAGTCGCTGGATTACTTGTACAGAATACACTGAAGTAAGTGTTACATTACTAGTACAGAATACACTGAAGTAAGTGTTACATTACTAGTACAGAATTTCCTGAACTTACTTGATTATTTTGTGAATATTTGGAATATCCATTTTCTTGATCATTTTCCTATGGATATGTCCCAGCAACCAGCTCATGTTCTTGGCAATAACTATAAAAGTGATTGCATTTTTGCAAAACATCACCACGGATACGAGTATACATGTACAAGTATGAAAGAATGTTTTTGGCTCTTAAACAACTGTCTCTGTAACATTATAAAATCTATATCTCTTCCTTGGTATTTCAACCCAGTGTCTCAAATACTTTATAATGTCCCTAGCAACCAGTCAAATAAATTGTAACTTTTCAAAGCTAGTCTGCCATTAGTGAATTGATTTTTTTTCCAAAATTTAAAACAATCTTAAGTACAATTGACATTGTATGGAAAATTTGAATATGAATTTCACATGAATCCCATGATAGCCCAGAACAGGATTATTTTTTTGTTTTCTGGAAACACACGCTTTAGCAGCAAGCCTATTTGTGTTCTTGAAAGCTTTATTAGTCCCCGTTCGGACGCAGTTTTGACCTCCGTGTGTCCGTGCATCCGTGCGCCCGGCCGGACCTGTATCTTAGAAATGCCTGGACCAATCACAATCAAACTTCACACGTACATCATACATGATATTATACATATGCACATCAATTTGTTTCACGATCTGATTCAAGATGGCCGAATGGCGGCCATTTTTGTGCTAAACAATCCTAAAAATCAAGCATTTCTCGGCTGTTTACAGATGGATTTGCTCAAACCTTGTATATACATTGGACATTATAGGACCTTGATGCACATCGTTTTGTTTTATGATCTGATCCAAGATGGCCGAATGGCGGCCATTTTTGTGCTAAAAAATCCTAAAAATCAAGCATTTCTCGGCTGTTTAATGTGTGATGGATTTTGTTCAAACTTGGTATATACATTAGACATTATGGGACCTTGATGCAAATAATTTTGTTTTTCAGTTAAGATTCAAAATGGCCGACTGGCGGCCATTTTGTTTTAATGAATGTGGTTCTCATACCATATCTCTGACTTGCTTTCACTGATTATGTTCAAATTTTAAATATTCATTATACATCATGTCATAGATAAACAGATATATTGGTTTAACGATCCTATTCAAAATAGCCGAATGGTGGTCGTTTTTGTGCTACAAAATCATCAAATATCAAGCATTTCTAGTATTTATGGATGGATTTCGTTCTAACTTGGTACATACATTAAACATTACGGGTTCCTGATGCACGTCATTTTATTTTTCAGATTGGATTCAAAATGGCTGACTGGTGGTCATTTTATTTTAATGATTGGGCTTCTAGAGCCATATCTCTTAAATGCTTTGACTGATTATATTCAAATTTTATATATTCGTTATACATCATGTTATATATATACATGTATTCAAAATGGCTGATTTTGAATGCTGTTCCAGAGCAATATCTCTCAATATGGACAAGTACTTGTTTGACGATCAGATACAAATGTCAATCATTTTAATATTAAAAAATCATATTCCTGACATGGTTATATTCCAGCTATATTACTATAAACAAATTATATATCTTCAATTTGATAACTAACGGGGACTGTGCCATGCATGGCTTGTTTTAGTCATACTAGTTTCCCCGGTATTCTGAGATATTTAAATACTACTTGGCAATACAAATATGTAATTGATGGGTAATCACTGAGGTAAATGTTTGTGGTCATTAGTTTATAACTCTTATTTGGTGTGTACAGCTTTTTCAACATATCTAATAAAACACATTTGTTTGTTATTTAGATATTTATTAGGCTTTGGATGTGTGAGTTGTTACCTAGGTTACAGTGCATTGACAGATTTCTTCCCAACAATGTTGATGAAACCCAATCCACACTGTGATGACAGTTTTTGTATGAAACGACAGACAGAACACAAGGTAACTCCGCTGTGACAATACATACATTGATTATCACCTTCTATGTTTCACTGGTGTCTATTTCAAATTATTTCTAGAGCAACTATTTAATTACTCTGCCGTTATGATCATAGATGAAGGAAAAGATATATGAGGGGAAAATGTCATCCCCTCATTGTTGACTCTGATGTACATTTGGGCTGTCACTTGCTTTATGTATTTTATATAAAATACACAGTGTAAACTTATAGCAGGTGATGACAGCAACTGTCAGTATGTGTTTATACACACTGCTTTTATGTACATAAATTTAATATATTATTATATACTACTTTAAATACCAGGAAAAAGTTGCTGCTCAACCTATAGAAGTTAAATTAGAGAAAGAAGAAGAAATTGTACATGAAACAAATGAATTTGGTAAGTATTAAAAATAGAAATATGTAATTATATATTATTATTATAGTGTCTCTCTCTCTGTTTGATTATAGTACACTTTTACAATTTGTGAAACAGTGGTCAGTTGGGTTTAAAATGGTCACCTCTCATGGATGCTACTAATTAGAGGTCACTCACATATTGCATGTACACTGATATCTTCTAGGTATAGAATTGGTGGATGAAACCATAGAAGATACTGATATTAAAGAAAGCCATTTACCACAGGGTCTAGTGTATGCTTATGATGCACCAGAGACAAGCAAAAAGGTATGTCTGTACAAAACTCACCAATACAATAGTTTTGAGTTATCAGGTTGCCATGTCAGCTATACAAGCATATTAACACCAAAGACCAACAATTGACAGTGGTATTGTTGCAACATGAAGAATACAAATAATTCTAAGCTTGTGAATAATCTTTAAGCTAGCTTATTGTAGTATACTTATTATGGTAGATTGTAACCAATTGTATGAATATATATTTTATTTATCTTAG